CAGCATGATATTATGTTCATCTGCAATGTTCACCGTAATGCTGTGGATTCATCGTATCTGCTGGAGTGTTTCCCGCTGGCCGTGCCGCATCTCCCCCTGCGAAAAAGGGTTCTCTTCCATGTACTGTACGCACGGGTGAACACAGTGCTGAACAGTCCTTTCTGTCGCATGCCAAAGCTCTGCAATGGCTTCTTGGACTGCAACCGTGAGATAGACGTGTGGACGAGCAGCACTGCGTCTTTCAAGTCTCATGTAGTTGCCCATGTTCGTAAGTAGGTACTGCTATGTTTTGATTTTTTTTTTATAAGTGTATTTATCTGTGTGTCGGCATATGTAAGTGTATTTTTAACCTTCGACTTAATCTGTAATTGGGCCTCCTATGCCCGTTGATGATGCTCTCAATAAACTAAACTAAACTAAACTAAGTGCCAACTATATTTAAGTTTTGTCCGGAAATATCCGTACCTGCTATCGGAGTGTCTGATACACTTTTCTGACCCTCACTTTATTTGTTATATAGTCTATCAGGCTATCAGATTCCCATCATGGTTTTGGTGGCTACATTATTTGCTTATGGGAATTTCCGGTTCCGTCATGACTTGACCTGGCAGGTGATGCCATCTTATCACATGACCGAACCGAGTTAAGGTCAACGCAGGTCAACTGATTAATTAATTAATTAATTAATTAAATGACTAATGATTATTTAATTAAATTTATCAGGAATTGCTTCGAAAGTACACCGACTACCATTTGTATGATTCTATCATCCCTTTCATGTGAAAAGCGGGCACGAAACACGAAAAAGTACCGATGTCGCGCTAATTCTCGCTCCGGTCCCATTGTGCATTGTAAGAAATAGTTTTAGTGTCTATGCTACATATTTTGCGACCGATACCCCCTCAACCCGATTACGACTCGCTGACGAAGTTTTGTAAATACAATTTGAAAGCTCCGACACAAACGATTTCTTGTGGAGTCAAGCTCTCATTCACTTATTGCATTAACAAACTCCACAGTCCACATCATATCTTTATGTGTAACTAAGCTGTTGGTGGCGGTAAACACCCATTTGGATGTCGGCGGTGACGCCTAATGGTTGAGCTGACCTGACCCCACCTACCCAAAATGCACGGATGCATGGTCTTTGATCAAAACTAGCACGAAATTCGAAATCAGAACCCCGAAAAAAAACTCACTAACAACCTCATTTTAAAAAGTTAAAATAGGCCACGATTTCCCTGACTTTTAAGTCATTTACCCGAATAGAAATGCCAACCAATGACCGGCGATCTTAAAATCGGGTATCATCGGCTTCCTTTAGTTACGGTAAGACGTTCATATTTTCGCGAAGCTATAGTTCGGTTAGGGACTGAACGATTGGGGATCCAACAGAATTCCCCCCCCCCCCAATTATATGCTAGCAGCTGAAAACGTGGTCACGGAAGGGGTTTCAAAGAGCATACAAACACATAAGTCCTTAATCCTCGCCCGTACTGGTGTTTTGCCAGCCGCGAACGTACAGCCCTCTGCAAACTGCGTGGTAGGTATTCTTTCTTCGACAAAACCGAGAATAACGCGGATACTATGCTATCGGTCGCTCGGAAATCATAACAGCAAGATGCGCGAGACTCCGCACCTTAGATTGGCATTACCATCGCATTCATTTTCCACCCAGTTTGGCAACAAAACCCAAAAGTTTACATTTGCCCCCAAAACAAACTTTTGCATTTTGTTGCCACACAAGGCATATACTTTGTTTAGTGGTATACCCAATCGAAGGAGTAGAGCATGGCGCCTCTATTTTCAGTGAGTTCCGACCGACTGACAACATAGTCTTTGAGTTATTACTGGTTTTGTCGTAAAAAGAATACCTACCACGCAGTCTGCTGAGGACTGTACATATATGGGGGGGGGGGGGGGTCCGTTGGAGACATAGTTTGCTACGAGAGACGCCCAGTTCGAGGTTTAAAGTCCATGCTATTAAAAGCCTAATTTCAGGTATTTAAAATAATCTTGAACCGACCTGTGACCTCGGAACTCCACTTGAAGGTACTCATCAGAAGCCTCTCGTAGCGTTATTTTGTTTGCTGCCTCGCCCGTTTCGCTGCGCCTCGAGCTATGGGCTATGGGCTATGGGTTTTCAAGCTATGGGCTGGGAAAGTTTACCCCCCCTCCCACCCCCACCCAGCAAGTGGTGTGTGGCGAAATACTCCAGCAACTGCCGGGTTAACCCTCGCCCGTATTGGTGTTTTGCCAGCCTCGAACGTATGGGGGGCGGGCGGGTCCGTTGGACCGCCCCCTTGCCGTTTGGCCCCTTATCGAGCTAGAGCTTCGAGAAAAATTTAAGGTCCTAGATCATTGGTTGACTTTCCAGGTCAGGTCAATGACCCACAAGTCTGGAAAATCGGGACCTGTTAGAACATCGTAAAGTGAGGTTGATGAGGTTTTTCGGGGTGCTGACCACGAATATCGTGTTAGTTTTGATCACAGATGATGTCTTAATGCATTTAGGCCAGGTCAGGTCAGGTCAGGCCAATCAGTAGACGTCCTGCCAGGTATTCATAGTACGTGTCAGCCGTTACTGACAGCTTCGTAACATGTTACGAAGACACCAAAACAACTTCGTAAATGGTCAAATGGTTGCTTAATTCGAAATCAGCTCCAAAAAGTAGCCTAGAAACATGTAAAACTTGAAGAAGTGAACCTAGGTCATCAAAGGTCAATGATCTGACCTGACCTTCAGGTGACCTTGACACCCACCATAATGCCTGGGACCAACATCATATCACATGTTTGAACGCTTGAAACCGCAAAAATACTGCAAACGCGCGGCTAATACGAGCCGACATACGCCGAATCGCGATTCCGGCCAAACATGGTCTCGAAAAATAGGCCACAGGTCAAGGTTCAATTGGGACAGGGTCATGAACTTTTAAGGGTAAGTGTACAATTGATTGACTCGACAGTACTGAAAGTTTCATCGCGATCAACCGCTTTTTACGCGAGTTATTCGCGAAAAACCATGGGGGTGGGGGTCCGTTCGACCCCCCCCCCTATACGGGCGAGGGTTAAGTCAGTTAAAGGGACCCTCCCACCTTAACATTAGTTTTGAGTTGAGATAGCCAAGTTTGCGGCCAGGCTCAGAAACCACCATTTATCCTGGTCGCAACCCCCGCAGCTTTATGGTGTTCAAGAAATTTCTTCCCTTTACTTGCAGGGTGGGACCAGCGTGGTCCCTATCTCTTAACCATTACGGGAGTCTGATGACGTCACCAGGCTTTCGAACGTCCGTTAAATGTTTGACTAAAACGTTTTGTAGCACGCGGTGGTATATGCTGCTTTGCGCGCAACAAATGCCGCACTTTCAAATAAAGTCGCTAGGAACAGCGGAGATCCCAAAAAGTAAACAAAAGTAAAAGTCTAATATCTTGAAAACCGGTGAATATTTTTCGATGAAATTTGGTAGATATTCGTTTTTGCTCTTTCTGAACCGAGCGACATCACTTTCATGCCAATTCATTAACTTTTTTGAAGGTGGGAGGGTCCCTTTAAATTTCTTTTGCAGTTTTCAATTTAATTTACGAATTATGTTCCGGCAGCTATGGTCAAAATGAGCAGAATGCTGCTCAATGTACCAAGCGCAACTTCGTTCTCCGGCCCGCAGAGAGCGGGGATGTAAGTCAGGCACGGCCTTGGCCGTTTCCTCTGGGGCCGCGCCGTCTGCCGAGGGAGGGGAGACCTTGCCCAGTCTGAGGGAGGGGGACGACGGCGCCACCGGGACGCCCCGTCGCTCCGAGACCGGCGCTCACTGTATAAACAAGCAAAAAACGCTGGCCGTGCAAAGCTTGGCTGTGCTTTGACAGAGGAGGCATCTAGTGGAATATTTCGTAACTACACAAACTTCTAACAAAGATGTCGCTTGAAGCGCAGTTGAGATTGTAGGTTTTGATCCAACTGAAAATTGACATCTCAAGGGCGACGAAATGATGTAAATTTATATGAAATGGTTTTGTATGATGCGTACTTTGATTAATGCCATTAATTTTCCACTGCCTTTTTGTGTGAAACGATTTTGTACCTTGCGATTTTGTATGACACGATTTTGTATGCTGCGCTTTTGTATGTTTTGACTGTCCCCTACCCGGCCTGTTTTGTAGGTTTTGCGCGTTGTATGTTACGATTTTGTATGTTTTGATGATTGTATGATAAGATTTTGTATGCTTTGATATGGAGCCCGCCAGATAATCCATGGCTTTGTCCACCAGTAAGGCTGTGCTGCCAGGCTTTGTCTGTTTTCCAGTGTCGGCTGCTCCCCGTCTGTCACTAGGTCCATGTCAGTAAGCCCAGTAGGTCCTTATTTATCGACCAACGCTCACGGTTCCTGGCGCATTTCCGTCCCATTTTTAGCGTAATTCTTCGGCCCCGTCACAGCGCAGTTTTCTGTCAAATCTGTCCGTCTGAACATATTAAAAAAGTTTTCGATAACTCAAACTGTCTTTCTGTTCGTTGATTCGTCTGCCAGTTCATACATCAGTTGATGCGCCGCCCGTCCGTCCTTTTCGGTTCGTTAGTGTTAGTCCGTCTGTCCGCTCGTCCGTCCGTACGCCGAACCGTTCATCCTTCTGGTCGTCTGAAACTTAGTCCGTCAGTTCATCCATCCTCCGTCTGTCCATCCGTCTGTCCATCCGTCCGTCCGTCCGTCCGCCCGTCCATCTGTCCATCCGTTAGTCGTCTGTCCGTTAGTCGTCTGTCCGTTACGTCCATGATCCTGCCGTCTGACAGTCTATCCGTTCGTCCGTCCCTCCAGCATTGTTCGTCCATTGGTCCGTCCGTCTGTCCATCCGTTAGTCGTCTGTCCGCTGGTCCATGATCCTTCCGTCTGACCGTCTGTCCGTTCGTGGACCATTCCTCCAGCATTGGTCGTCCATTGGTCCGTCCGTCTGTCCGTATACGCCGGGCCCGACCTTGACGTCGGCGGCTGGCGGCGGCGGCTGCCCGGAGCCGGGCCCGGCCGTGTAGGCGGCAGGTTATATCAGCGCTGCGGCCGGCAGGGCCGGTAGTGACCGGCGGGCGGCGCGCACCGAGGGCCGCTCCGCCCTCTGTCCACCCGGTCACTCCGACGGCGCAACGTGCGCTCCTCCGCTCTGAGAGTCCATCGGAGTCCGCGGACTCAGCCGGGCGACTGAGCGTGCTGTGGGACTCTGTGTGATTCGGTGAAGATTGTTAAAAGTGCGTCAGTGCGGATTTGCTGAAAATTGCGGTTCTCAGTGATTGAGCTGGACTCCAAAGGACCGTTTTCGTGGAGATTTTGTTGTGACTGAACAAGTCGTCACCAATCATCTAAACCAAAGGTAAGGCAATACGTTTGGTATTCGTCGATCTATGAGTGTGCTATTTTTCTATAGACGAAACTATTGCATGGGCAGTGTTAGCAGATTGATATGAGTGTTGACTGTGCTCTGTGACTGTGCGTTAATATGAGTCTGTGAGTGTTGAGATCATCCATGAGCGGCACTTGTTTTCATCACATGCTTCTACTTATATTGAAATGAGTCATGAAAAATCGTTTCAATTTTGGAAACACCCCGCTTTATTTGAGCGCATTTTTATCATCCCATTTGAATAGCGAATCTTGCTAGAGTATTGGTGGAACTAATACATAACGCATGTGAATCCATGCTGCTCATGAACATCGGATATCGGCTGTAGGTTTATAACCTGCATGCAAAGGCCGGAGGGCGGCTGAATAGACACCTCTTAAAACACTCATGACCCGTAAGACCTTGGTTTCCCGAGAGGGGACCTGCGAACACAATCGAGCCACGATTGTGTCGGGACCGAGAAAAAATGTCATGAAGTAGGTCAGAACTCGGGACAATCGGCGCTCATCTGAGGCCTTCGTGTCATCTGGGATGCCTTGACCTTACCTACACCAAGCCAAGGGGTCTGTGGGCTCTAACGATCAAGCTTTAACTATTCGGAGAACCCGGATGCTCTAAATACAACTGTGGGTGGGTGTCCTTGATCGGCATCTGATGGACGTTTCCACCCGATCCGTATAATGGAACTGGATTCCTTGATTGTAAATCCGCCCTTCCAGGAAGTGGACGCGGCACCCAAACCTTGAACTATTTGAAACGAAAACCGACGCTGTTGTGTCATTTCATCAGTATAGTGCTCCACGGGTGATCATTACCCACCTGTTCTTTTCCCGGGCGCGGCCTTATTGGCTATTACATGACACGCATTTTGATTTGTGCGTGAGACGCTGCACCATACATATATGGTACCATACATACAGGCGGATCGGTCGGATCGGGTCGGAGTCTGGCTCGCCACCGGTCATTAGCCGACGGCTCCGACCTTGTCTCGCTGTAGCGGCCATGTCCGCCGCAGAGACCGTCAAGGATTCGCCGCCGGTACACCATAATCGGACAGGGCCATCGATCCCCACGGCTTCCGCTCCGGGCTGAACAGGATTCCGCTCCGTGTGTACGCACCTAGCTGATGAGTCGATAAACGACAGTTGTCAGAAAAAGCCGTGGGTTTTTCCTAACATCACCTTGTGATGGTGAGACGTTCTCAGTGATATCCTTCATTATTCCGTGTCCTCTATGAAAGTGGTCTCTTTGTGTGTGTGTTTTTTAATGATGCGTTATCATGTGTGACGAGACCTTGCTACAAGACTTGGCTAGATCTCGGGCCCATGGCCGTTCCTAACACCCTTGAGCAGCGATCCCCGCATCGCATCATGCTCATGTCTCTCTAGGTCTTCTACGCCACGTTCCCCGTTACGTTCCACACGCCGTACCGTGGTCATGCAACCAGCACGGCCGTCCAATACAGTTCATGGCTGTAGGTGACACTTTCACGGACCGCGTCACGGCCGAGGGTGCGCCGTCACGAGTCACAGACGACAGTCACGGCTCACGGCCGTGCGCGCATCCCGTGACGCCCGGCGCCCAGTCACTGTCCACAAAACACATCCGACTGACGTAATGATAATAACGTACTGACGTAACGGCGCTCATTGCTCGAGAGAGAGGTGTGATCTATACGGGTGTCGAGCGCCCCAGTCGCTCCGACCCGGCTCCCGCTTCGCGCTTGGAACGGAGCCACTGATCCAACACGGGCGACAGTGTCAGCCCGAGCTTACGAAGCCATGAATCATGTATGGTGTACTTGGCCTTGTCGGGACTGAGTGGGTTTAAGAAGGATCGACGCACCCACTTGCACACTTTTCTAGAGCTGGATGAAGCACTGCTTTCAGTCACGAAATTTGATTATTTTTTCTTTAGGAACCTGTCCCCGTAAAAGTCACCACACCCATTGTGAACACTGTCGTCACCAGCGATAACAGTGATATAAAGCCAGCAAAGAGCCGGTGCATGGGTGCGGCCTCCCTGTCCAAAGCGAAGGGTTAGAAACATTTTTTTTTTGCGTTTTATTGTTCGTACAAAGCTCCCCTCGCGTCATCTCAACTCTACTGAGCTCAATTACCCGTTCGAGTGTGCGGCGGTGTAATCTCTGCGCCGCACTGGCCAGTGACGTCGAGCTCGCCCCTCCACGGCGGCGGCCGGACCGGTGCGGTGCGCTGGCCCCGAGAGATGACCTCGGAGGGCACACACGTCATCATCGGCAGTCGGGCCGGCCAGCGGACCCGGGCCGGCCGCTGGACCCGCTTTGAGAGCAGCGTGACTCGCGGCCCCGGCCGGCCGGCCCCGCTCGGACCTCACGAAGCCCGGCCTGATTATGACAAAGTCATCGGTGCTCCGATGTTGCTATGAGATTTCATCATTCGGAGTTATTGATGGCGCCAGCGTGCTGCATCTGGCGTGTGTTCATCGTCCGTTGGATGAATCTCCCTGTACTGACGAGGGAAGCGCCCGGTGGTTTGCGGCTGCGGCGGCCGCCATATCTGAGCGGTCGAGCTCCGGCGCCACGCCGCCGGCCCGTGACCACGCAGTCAGAGGCCGTCGCTGGGCCGGCGACAATCCGACCAGAGACGGCTCAAGGCCCACGGATTAGGACGCCGGCAGCTGCGAGAGGTGCCCCTCGGCTAGCCATGGCCGGCCGAGCGGTCACAGTCAGAGGTGCTCGCTGCACACCGTCTGAGCCGTGCTGAGTCGCTGCTAATCCCGAGCTGCCACCGGGAGAGCAAGGAAAAACGAATCGAAACGGTGGCGCTGCAGCGAGACAAGTTCTCACAGCGGCGGTTAGTGGACAGGTCTGCGGCCTCGGAACGGTCAGGTTATTTTTAAAACCAGTAGCACTGTTCTCAGAGCTGCACTACCTTCCTCAAGATCAATCTATTCTAACTTGGGATGTGTGTGCGTGATTCTCGGGACGAGACCGGTGGCATTTTATCACGCGGTGTCAGCCTGTTATCCCGTACAGGCCGAACTTGCTGTTTCAACAGTTACACATGTTTGTTACCGGCTTCTAGAATGTTATCCTTTCAAACACGCGGCTTAAACCCACTGTGCGGCTTCCACCTGACAGCACATACACTGCCGAGGATGGAGCTTGTGTCGGCAGCGGCGTGCCGACCAGTTCTCCGGAGTGCTGTCCTGTTGTATCTCCTACCTACAAAGGGATGCACTCCACCTTCAAGGAATTGAAATCTCTTTATGGGGCGAAGCGGTGTATTTACATCTTAAGGCCTGGCTACACTATGCGTTTTCTGCGTGCGTTTTTTGCGGGTTTGCGTTTTTTGCGTGATATCGTTCTAGAAAAAAGTTAAAAATAATACAACTTTTACATTAGTTGTGCATTAGTTATGTACTAAAGTTAATATAACTCTTATATTAACTAAAATTTACAATAAAAACATCACAAAAACGTAATAACGTTTTTTATTCTAGAACGATATTACGCAAAACCCGCAAACCCGCAAAAAACGCACGCAGAAAACGCATAGTGTAGCCAGGCCTTTATGTTTTTGCTGATCTTTGTTTGTCTGAAATGATCGGAGGTCCTCTGAGTTAGCTTTGAGCTTTGGGTATCTGTGAACTTTAGTGATTTCTTTCGTCGTAATCTTCGGCGAGCAGTATGAAATCTTCCTCGCTCTCTGTTCGTGACAAAGAGTAATATCACACTGTGCTGGCCTTGCTTGGCGTTGCCGATGTCTTATAATGGACTAAGCTGGTTTGGAGGTCTGCACCACTTGGCATGCATGCCGCCCTCCACACCGCGCCCTCCCACTGTGTCAGGTCACGCCCTCGGCGGCATTGTCCACTGACGGGCGGGGGCGGGCCGCTGACGGGCGTCCGACCGAGCTGTGCGTACCGCCACGGTCAACAGGTGTGGCTAGGACAATGACGAGGGAGGGGAGGCAGGGAGGGAAACGAGGCCTCCGCGCTCTGCCAAACGAGTCGTTCACACTTTGCTCAGCTGGACAGTAGACACTGGACAGGGCAGGTGGGGAGGGGTCGCACGGTCACACCCCACCCCCGAGTCCAGTTCACGGTCAAGGTGCTGGTGCGGCGTGGGTGCAGCCGCCGGGTCCTTTCTCTGACTGAGCTGGCACCCTGCCATACATGGTGCCGTGTTGGTCAGCGGTGCAGTGGCCACCCAGCGCTGGCCACTGGACGACGGGGCCACGGTACCCGACCGCCGCCGCGCGGCCTCTGGTTCTGCTGACACGATTCAGAGCGAGGTCACGCGCCGCGCTCGGTCAGGTCACGCCATGTGGGTGTGAATGCCGGACGGTGAGACCGCGGCTGACCACTGGAGATCAGCTGATCGGCATCAGCTGACCGCCCGATCAGCTGACTGCCTGATCAAACATCCCGGAGCTGCTGATTCAATATTAACCGAACTGTGATCGCTACAAGAGAGCTAACAACCTGGTGTAGGAATCAAGACACCCACGATCTATACGAGCAAGTATTTGCCGTACTAATAAAATCGCACATAAAACCACATATGCTTTGCAGCACGTTGCCTCGCTCAATGCCGTTGACAATCACTAACGGGCGCTGTTCTTTGGTGTTTCAGATGCGATTACGGCAGCTGGCGTGTCTGCTGGCGCTGTCGGCGGCGGTGGGCGGCTCGCCCGCGCCGTCCGCCGCCCCCGCCCCCGCCCCCGCCCCCGCCCCGGGCCGGTGGCGGTTCGATGAGGCGGTAGCCGGCGGCGGCACGCGGCAGGCGCGGCGGATCGCCCCTCCGTCGTCCGATTCCGTAAACATCCTCCGGCCGGCGCCTGAGACGACCACCACACCGGCGCCGCGCGTCACCAAGAAACTGGTGACGCTCGCGCCGGGAGGAAATAGCATCCAGGACATCCTCTTCAACAACGGCTACCGCGACAGTCCGGCAGACGCCGAGCCGGCCGTCAACAACATCGACGACGAGAGGAACTTGGACGGCCTGGCGCGGAAGGACGTGTGGCTGCTGGACGGAAACCTGCTCGTGCTGAAGGGCGGCGCCTTCTCCGGCGGGTTCACAGACACGGAGCCGCTGGACGACTACCAGGCGCCGTACCGACAGCCCAAGTTCCCGCCGCTCGAGTTCCTGGGTGTTGACGAGCTGCCGCCGGACCTGCTGGCCGCCTGGCAGTTTGGGTTCCCCGGCCTGGACGGCCTGTTCGAGGCCCGGCCGCCGGCGCTGGGTCCGGAGGGCACTCGGGGGTACTCCCCGTACGGCCGGCCCGAGTCGCGGCTGGAGGAGCCGGAGTCGGTGGCCGGGCCGCACTCCAACGTCGGAGCGCAGCCGTACGACGGAGGGGAGCCGTACCCGCCGGGTCAGCCGCATACCGACTCACAGCCGTATGTAGACGAAAAACCCTACACCTACGAACAGCCGTATGTTGATGGAACACCGTACACCAGCGCGGAGCCGTACACGGATGAAAACCCTTACACCAGCGCGGAGCCATACCCGGAGGAAACCCCCTACACCAGCGCGGAGCCATACTCCGACGGAAAACCCTACACCAGTGACGAGCCGTATGTCGACATCCAGAAATACAAGGACGGTCAATCATACGCCGAGGTCCCCTACACAGACAGTGGGCTTCACGAGGGCGAAAAACCCTACGAAGAGCCAAGTGAACCTGTAAACCCGGAGTTGATGAAGGGCTACAGCCCTCTGGGCCGACCCGAGCCGCGGCCAGACAGTCTCTACGAGACGCCCAGGATCGAATCGCTCCCGGAGTCCCAGATCCGGATATCGCCGGAGGGTCGGCCCGGGTTCGGTCCGGAGTCCACACCACAGCCCATCCAGCCACAGAACGGGCAGAGCTACGGCGTGCGACGGCACACGGCTGTCGGGGGCGGCGGGAGGGTGCGGTTCCCAGACGAGCCCTTAGAGGCCGCCCAGCCGCCGTCCTCCGAGGCAGCCCGGATCGGTGCCACGCGCACACGGACGTACTCGGTACGCACGAGCTACTCGAGTACGTCATCGCAGTCATCTACCTCTGTGCGGGGGCATAACGCGCGATACCTACCCCCGCCGGGCAGTCAGCGCGGCCCCAGTCCCCGCTGAGACCGGCACGGGACCTGAGAGAACCTCGTGAATTAGCACGGGCAGGACCAAACGAGTCGGGCAGCTTGTCAAGAGCGTTCGACAGACTCAGTCATTTGCCACGCTCGGCTGGAGCCTGGAAGTAGTATGGATCGGTGTGCGCCGTTCTCACCAACTCTGGCGAAAAGGAGTCTGTTCACCTGTTATTGCCCGCATCGCACGGGAGCACTAACCCACTCGGCACAGTCCAGTTACAAGCCGTCCACTCTGGCGCTGTCGACCTGTCAGTGCCGTCCCGTGGTGACCTGACCCTGCTCAAGTTTGCCGTCCAGCCCCGTCCTGAGCGGTGCGTTCGGCTCACCCGCGCCATCGGACCGGTGATCTCAGCCAGCCGGGTAGTGAGTCAGTGACCAGCACCCCGTGAGCTCGTGAGGGCGGGCACAGTCGCCGCGCCGTCCGGCCACTGCTACAGGGTCTGCGGGCGGTCCCAGCGACCTCTGAATGCCCCGACTGCGCGCTCGTTCGGCCGCTATACAAGGCATTGCTGCTGTCACAATATTGTTGTTGTATGTATGTTTGTATGTTTGTACAATGTGGCACTGTAAATAGGCACTTGTTACTCATCGTGCATAAAGTTGTGTCTTGTATCGAATAAATAATCGTGTTTATGACATGTTTGTCAAAGCAGCTGCTTCGAAAAGGTAGTATAGAACTATCAAGAAGACGCTTCATTTTTAGCAACACGTTTTAAGCAAATCAGTTGACGACTGAAGTAACTACAATGATGCACACAATGATGCACACAGAACGCGGACTTTTGCACTCTAATCACGAATGCTACGATCGGAAAGCAACTGTTTTGTTGCCTCGCTTATAATGAGGAGGCATTCTATGACTGTACCTGGTACGACAGAGCGGTGATATTAGCTCGACACTGACCTTATGTGATTTACTAATTAGATGCCATAGATATTTACATGGGGAAAAGGGAAGGACGAGGTGGCGCCATGCATGCCAAAGGGTCCCCCTTTTCCCGAAGAGCTTCGCCATCTATGTTGGTTGCGGCTGATACCAACAAGTCGCTACCATTTACAATGTCACGCAAGCTTATTCCATGCGTCCATGCAAGGAAAGAACAGAATCTAATTAGTAAAAACAGCGAAGCAAAACAACCCACTAGGGACATTCCGAATAATATCGGATGTATCTAAAAAAAGGGTCTAGCTAGAAATTCAAACGGAATGACTAAGCTGGGTGAAATTGTTCGCGACGCTTTGTTTCTACGAGTTACTTACGACATACCTATCCTTTACCAAACAGGGATACCGACTGGTGCTCGCTGGCAAGGACAAAGAGTGACACTCGGGTAGTACCTTATTGAGATGGTCCCAGTGTGGGTGCAGAGACGCCGCAGGAATCGCTCGAGAAGGGATAATCCCGTACTTTCCGCGCCGTTCTAGTATTTGTTATCAAAGCTAGGCCGAGACTCTAATGACAGGCTACCATAACCAAATTCATATTCCATCATAGGCAGTATGCATTTATGGATAATAGCCAAAGCGAACCACAGGTCGGTCTTGACCTTCCTCGTTTGTAACTGTTGTCAGATAACCACAGACAAACCTGCCTGTACCTAATTAGTGGAATAAGATCCCGCTCCAGAGACCAGAGTTGAGCCGCTGCTAAACCACCCGTCAGGAATTTGGAATATCCATAAACATGACATTCTTATCTTCTCAGCTTGGTCTGGGTCTGTTTTTAGTAGGACAAGGTCTCCGTAATGGCACGTTTCGGTCACAAGGGCAACTGGACATCTTACAGCTGACAGTGTCGGCGGATTCCGTGTTTAGGGTTTAGACGGACCAGGAAAAGCCGCTTTCTCAGCATATGTAAACCCATGCATTTGTGTAGAGATCAACTATGCTAAAGGTATGTGCGTGAAGTTGGCGTCGGATTCGGATTCGTATTCAGCGTCGAGTACCGAATCACTTGAAAACGTCATATCTGGTCAATTCGGGGACGGGGAGCACGAATATGACATTAATTTTGCCCTAGCAGGTATCCCTTATCCCTTAATCGTCCCTTAAACGACGGGGCGCGCCAAAAGTGCCTCAGGGGCTCTTCCGATCACGAAAATAATGGTCCCAGGCGATTCCCCGGGTCGATATCTAGCCGCACCACCACTAACTTCACACGTGCCTCATATCCCTTATCCCTTAATCGTCCCTTAAATGACGGGGCGCGCCAAAAGTGCCTCAGGGGTTCTTCCGATCGCGAAAAGAATGGTCCCAGGCAATTCCCCGGGTCGATATCTAGCCGCACCACCACTAACTTCACACGTGCCTCACATCCCTCATCCCTTAATCGTCCCTTAAACGACGGGGCGCGCCAAAAGTGCCTCAGGGGCTCTTCCGATCACGAAAATAATGGTCCCAGGCGATTCCCCGGGTCGATATCTAGCCGCACCACCACTAACTTCACACGTGCCTCATATCCCTTATCCCTTAATCGTCCCTTAAATGACGGGGCGCGCCAAAAGTGCCTCAGGGGTTCTTCCGATCGCGAAAAGAATGGTCCCAGGCAATTCCCCGGGTCGATATCTAGCCGCACCACCACTAACTTCACACGTGCCTCACATCCCTCATCCCTTAATCGTCCCTTAAACGACGGGGCGCGCCAAAAGTGCCTCAGGGGTTCTTCCGATCGCGAAAATAATGGTCCCAGGCGATTCCCCGGGTCGATATCTAGCCGCACCACCACTAACTTCACACGTGCCTCATATCCCTTATCCCTTAATCGTCCCTTAAATGACGGGGCGCGCCAAAAGTGCCTCAGGGGTTCTTCTGATCGCGAAAATAATGGTCCCAGGCGATTCCCCGGGTCGATATCTAGCCGCACCACCACTAACTTCACACGTGCCTCATATCCCTTATCCCTTAATCGTCCCTTAAATGACGGGGCGCGCAAAAAGTGCCTCAGGGGTTCTTCTGATCGCGAAAATAATGGTCCCAGGCGATTCCCCGGGTCGATATCTAGCCGCACCACCACTAACTTCACACGTGCCTCATATCCCTTATCCCTTAATCGTCCCTTAAATGACGGGGCGCGCCAAAAGTGCCTCAGGGGTTCTTCTGATCGCGAAAATAATGGTCCCAGGCGATTCCCCGGGTCGATATCTAGCCGCACCACCACTAACTTCACACGTGCCTCATATCCCTTATCCCTTAATCGTCCCTTAAATGACGGGGCGCGCCAAAAGTAAATGACGGGGCGCGCCAAAAGTGCCTCAGGGGTTCTTCCGATCGCGAAAATAATGGTCCCAGGCGATTCCCCGGGTCGATATCTAGCCGCACCACCACTAACTTCACACGTGCCTCACATCCCTCATCCCTTAATCGTCCCTTAAACGACGGGGCGCGCCAAAAGTGCCTCAGGGGTTCTTCTGATCGCGAAAATAATGGTCCCAGGCGATTCCCCGGGTCGATATCTAGCCGCACCACCACTAACTTCACACGTGCCTCATATCCCTCATCCCTTAATCGTCCCTTAAACGACGGGGCGCGCCAAAAGTGCCTCAGGGGTTCTTCCGATCGCGAAAATAATGGTCCCAGGCGATTCCCCGGGTCGATATCTAGCCGCACCACCACTAACTTCACACGTGCCTCACATCCCTCATCCCTTAATCGTCCCTTAAATGACGGGGCGCGCCAAAAGTGCCTCAAGGGTTCTTCCGATCGCGAAAATAATGGTCCCAGGCGATTCCCCGGGTCGATATCTAGCCGCACCACCACTAACTTCACACGTGCCTCATATCCCTCATCCCTTAATCGTCCCTTAAACGACGGGGCGCGCCAAAAGTGCCTCAGGGGTTCTTCCGATCGCGAAAAGAATGGTCCCAGGCGATTCCCCGGGTCGATATCTAGCCGCACCACCACTAACTTCACACGTGCCTCATATCCCTTATCCCTTAATCGTCCCTTAAATGACGGGGCGCGCCAAAAGTGCCTCAGGGGTTCTTCTGATCGCGAAAATAATGGTCCCAGGCGATTCCCCGGGTCGATATCTAGCCGCACCACCACTAACTTCACACGTGCCTCATATCCCTTATCCCTTAATCGTCCCTTAAATGACGGGGCGCGCCAAAAGTGCCTCAGGGGTTCTTCCGATCGCGAAAAGAATGGTCCCAGGCGATTCCCCGGGTCGATATCTAGCCGCACCACCACTAACTTCACACGTGCCTCATATCCCTTATCCCTTAATCGTCCCTTAAATGACGGGGCGCGCCAAAAGTGCCTCAAGGGTTCTTCCGATCGCGAAAAGAATGGTCCCAGGCGATTCCCCGGGTCGATATCTAGCCGCACCACCACTAACTTCACACGTGCCTCATATCCCTTATCCCTTAATCGTCCCTTAAATGACGGGGCGCGCCAAAAGTGCCTCAGGGGTTCTTCCGATCGCGAAAAGAATGGTCCCAGGCGATTCCCCGGGTCGATATCTAGCCGCACCACCACTAACTTCACACGTGCCTCATATCCCTTATCCCTTAATCGTCCCTTAAATGACGGGGCGCGCCAAAAGTGCCTCAGGGGTTCTTCCGATCGCGAAAAGAATGGTCCCAGGCGATTCCCCGGGTCGATATCTAGCCGCACCACCACTAACTTCACACGTGCCTCATATCCCTTATCCCTTAATCGTCCCTTAAATGACGGGGCGCGCCAAAAGTGCCTCAGGGGCTCTTCCGATCGCGAAAATAATGGTCCCAGGCGATTCCCCGGGTCGATATCTAGCCGCACCACCACTAACTTCACACGTGCCTCATATCCCTTATCCCTTAATCGTCCCTTAAATGACGGGGCGCGCCAAAAGTGCCTCAGGGGCTCTTCCGATCGCGAAAATAATGGTCCCAGGCGATTCCCCGGGTCGATATCTTGCCGCACCACCACTAACTTCACACGTGCCTCATATCCCTTATCCCTTAATCGTCCTTATCCCTTAATCACGTGTGAAGTTAGTGGTGGTGCGGCTAGATATCGACCCGGGGAATTGCCTGGGACCATTATTTTCGCGATCGGAAGAACCCCTGAGGCACTTTTGGCGCGCCCCGTCATTTAAGGGACGATTAAGGGATAAGGGATATGAGGCACGTGTGAAGTTAGTGGTGGTGCGGCAAGATATCGACCCGGGGAATCGCCTGGGACCATTATTTTCGCGATCGGAAGAGCCCCTGAGGCACTTTTGGCGCGCCCCGTCATTTAAGGGACGATTAAGGGATAAGGGATATGAGGCACGTGTGAAGTTAGTGGTGGTGCGGCTAGATATCGACCCGGGGAATCGCCTGGGACCATTATTTTCGCGATCGGAAGAGCCCCTGAGGCACTTTTGGCGCGCCCCGTCATTTAAGGGACGATTAAGGGATAAGGGATATGAGGCACGTGTGAAGTTAGTGGTGGTGCGGCTAGATATCGACCCGGGGAATCGCCTGGGACCATTCTTTTCGCGATCGGAAGAACCCCTGAGGCACTTTTGGCGCGCCCCGTCGTTTAAGGGACGATTAAGGGATGAGGGATGTGAGGCACGTGTGAAGTTAGTGGTGGTGCGGCTAGATATCGACCCGGGGAATCGCCTGGGACCATTCTTTTCGCGATCGGAAGAACCCCTGAGGCACTTTTGGCGCGCCCCGTCATTTAAAGGACGATTAAGGGATAAGGGATATGAGGCACGTGTGAAGTTAGTGGTGGTGCGGCTAGATATCGACCCGGGGAATCGCCTGGGACCATTATTTTCGCGATCAGAAGAACCCCTGAGGCACTTTTGGCGCGCCCCGTCATTTAAGGGACGATTAAGGGATAAGGGATATGAGGCACGTGTGAAGTTAGTGGTGGTGCGGCTAGATATCGACCCGGGGAATCGCCTGGGACCATTCTTTTCGCGATCAGAAGAACCCCTGAGGCACTTTTGGCGCGCCCCGTCATTTAAGGGACGATTAAGGGATAAGGGATATGAGGCACGTGTGAAGTTAGTGGTGGTGCGGCTAGATATCGACCCGGGGAATCGCCTGGGACCATTCTTTTCGCGATCGGAAGAACCCCTGAGGCACTTTTGGCGCGCCCCGTCATTTAAGGGACGATTAAGGGATAAGGGATATGAGGCACGTGTGAAGTTAGTGGTGGTGCGGCTAGATATCGACCCGGGGAATCGCCTGGGACCATTCTTTTCGCGATCGGAAGAACCCTTGAGGCACTTTTGGCGCGCCCCGTCATTTAAGGGACGATTAAGGGATAAGGGATATGAGGCACGTGTGAAGTTAGTGGTGGTGCGGCTAGATATCGACCCGGGGAATCGCCTGGGACCATTCTTTTCGCGATCGGAAGAACCCCTGAGGCACTTTTGGCGCGCCCCGTCATTTAAGGGACGATTAAGGGATAAGGGATATGAGGCACGTGTGAAGTTAGTGGTGGTGCGGCTAGATATCGACCCGGGGAATCGCCTGGGACCATTCTTTTCGCGATCGGAAGAACCCCTGAGGCACTTTTGGCGCGCCCCGTCATTTAAGGGACGATTAAGGGATAAGGGATATGAGGCACGTGTGAAGTTAGTGGTGGTGCGGCTAGATATCGACCCGGGGAATCGCCTGGGACCATTCTTTTCGCGATCGGAAGAACCCCTGAGGCACTTTTGGCGCGCCCCGTCATTTAAGGGACGATTAAGGGATAAGGGATATGAGGCACGTGTGAAGTTAGTGGTGGTGCGGCTAGATATCGACCCGGGGAATCGCCTGGGACCATTCTTTTCGCGATCGGAAGAACCCCTGAGGCACTTTTGGCGCGCCCCGTCATTTAAGGGACGATTAAGGGATAAGGGATATGAGGCACGTGTGAAGTTAGTGGTGGTGCGGCTAGATATCGACCCGGGGAATCGCCTGGGACCATTATTTTCGCGATCAGAAGAACCTCTGAGGCACTTTTGGCGCGCCCCGTCATTTAAGGGACGATTAAGGGATAAGGGATATGAGGCACGTGTGAAGTTAGTGGTGGTGCGGCTAGATATCGACCCGGGGAATCGCCTGGGACCATTATTTTCGCGATCGGAAGAACCCCTGAGGCACTTTTGGCGCGCCCCGTCGTTTAAGGGACGATTAAGGGATGAGGGATATGAGGCACGTGTGAAGTTAGTGGTGGTGCGGCTAGATATCGACCCGGGGAATCGCCTGGGACCATTATTTTCGCGATCAGAAGAACCCCTGAGGCACTTTTGGCGCGCCCCGTCGTTTAAGGGACGATTAAGGGATGAGGGATGTGAGGCACGTGTGAAGTTAGTGGTGGTGCGGCTAGATATCGACCCGGGGAATCGCCTGGGACCATTCTTTTCGCGATCGGAAGAACCCCTGAGGCACTTTTGGCGCGCCCCGTCATTTACTTTTGGCGCGCCCCGTCATTTAAGGGACGATTAAGGGATAAGGGATATGAGGCACGTGTGAAGTTAGTGGTGGTGCGGCTAGATATCGACCCGGGGAATCGCCTGGGACCATTATTTTCGCGATCAGAAGAACCCCTGAGGCACTTTTGGCGCGCCCCGTCATTTAAGGGACGATTAAGGGATAAGGGATATGAGGCACGTGTGAAGTTAGTGGTGGTGCGGCTAGATATCGACCCGGGGAATCGCCTGGGACCATTCTTTTCGCGATCGGAAGAACCCCTGAGGCACTTTTGGCGCGCCCCGTCGTTTAAGGGACGATTAAGGGATGAGGGATATGAGGCACGTGTGAAGTTAGTGGTGGTGCGGCTAGATATCGACCCGGGGAATCGCCTGGGACCATTATTTTCGCGATCAGAAGAACCCCTGAGGCACTTTTGGCGCGCCCCGTCGTTTAAGGGACGATTAAGGGATAAGGGATACCTGCTAGGGCAAAATTAATGTCATATTCGTGCTCCCCGTCCCCGAATTGACCAGATATGACGTTTTCAAGTGATTCGGTACTCGACGCTGAATACGAATCCGAATCCGACGCCAACTTCACGCACATGCTAAAGGTTTAGTTATTTCTTTTCATGCCTCTCTGGCGAGCGTTGCGGGGCAGGCGGAAGAAAGACGCGGTTCGCGATTAATCTAATGTGAGACACTGGCTATCCCAGAGAGACAAGGTCATTCGAGCCATCCATACGGCACTGCATGATTTATGGAATGCAGTTTCGAGCGTACTCCTGCACTCGCCTTCAAGCAAACGCCCCTGGAGTTCTGTCTGATGTCCGTAATTCCGATCGAATAGACACGCCGCACGCACGCATCCCGTGTGCAATACATATGAGCTCATTCCTGGTTAGAGCATCAGACATTGACGTAGAGCATCAGACATTGGGGTCCGCCTCTAAGAGTCAGGGTATCCATAGAATCAAGGATGCATCGAATCGGTTATAAGCAGCGGTGCAACTCGTCGATTAGCCTCGAATACATAATCAAATGAAGCAGAGAAACGTGACGTCGGGATCGGGACGAATTGACCCCAGTTAGCCGTAAGAGCCACCAATAGCCGATAACATCAAACGGCGGAGAGCGATCCCTTTAACCTCCCTACGTCACGGCCCTCGTCAGCATCTCACAATGTGAGTCGTAAACTCGGTGATCAGGAGAGCCTCCAGCGAGAAGTCGGTAGGAAACACACCGGTATGTAATTTGTAAACAGTAAGCGGCGGGCGAGCAAACAATGAAGACACGTGTCTTCGTTACGTGCATCGAATACGTAAGCTGAAATGCGCAGGAACAAAAACATCACTATCAGAGACCCTGAGACGCCTTCCCTCCCTCTCTCCCTCCCACCCTCTCTCTCTCTCTGCTCGATCCCGCTAGTCCAGTGTCGAATAAGGGGTCGTAGAATGGCTAGCCAATAATTATGACGGCATTGTTGTCAGCCAACACAACCTAGATCGAGCTCGAAAACTAGTGCGGCCTGGACAGTGGATCGAAGCCCAAGACGTGTCGGTCCCCCTCATCCCAAACACAGGCGTCCTACCCGGCGGCTGGGGGCCGGGGAGGGGGGGGGCGGACTGGTCACCGCTGTCCAGCCGGCCCCGCGCCGCAGCGATAACCTTGTGATAGTCCGGGGCCGGCTACCCATCACGGGGGTACGGCCGGAGCCACCGCCGACGGGGTGACACACGGCACCTCTGTGTCACCGCACCGGCAAGGACAGGTGACGCGACTGACACGGCTGACACCGAGCCGCTTCCGGATTCCGCCGAGTGTCACTGTCTGGAACTCAGACTGACAGGTAAGCGCTTCAAATAAATCCATCGCCAGTGACGTATCCATTATCCCAGAAGGCCGCACTCGCCGCTGTTGCATAACCCATCGATTCTCTGACCCCATTGAGACACGGAAGGTAATATTGGACACGTATATTCCGACCAGAAGCTATACCGATCCTAGACAGCTGAGATCGCAGAATACAACCCGAGCCTGCCCTGACTCGACTGCGGATAGTCAGTCCGCGTCAGCACACTCGCCCCTATCACTTCACCCCAACCCCAGTCATCCAGCACAAACTCTCAGACGTGAAAAGAAGAATCACATGAAGAAAGCTCCGGCCCCGGTGCGACGGACAGCGGAGGCCGGTTATGGCGAATGAAGAAGCTCCACTGTGACATACCGGGTCCCAAGACACATGTTCTGACACGCAGACAGGAAACTACAGGCACACCGCACGGAGTTAAAGAAATGCCCGAATAAATCACCTTACACCGTCATTTCCATGAAATAGCCACCACAATCTTTGATAAAGCAAAATCGGCATTTCTCGTAAATTCAAGCGCACAACCTCTCACACAGCAAATACGATACCAGTGGCAAATCATCACAGTGCATATACAAAACAGCAGCGTACATTAGTGTATAGACAGCACGGCTATAGCTGGCACACCGACGACTAAATAATGACCTTGTGCTGACGCGTCACAACCTACGCGTCCCAACGGACTGCAGGAAGCTGACACCCATAAAGCGAAATAAATAGCATAAATAACCTTCCCAACGACGGCGCGAACTGACGGCAGCTTAGCAGCCTGCTGTCTTTATAGGTCTTAAAAACGTATTTATTGGTAGATCGTTAGCGACGTGATGGCTCGCCCCCGGCGGCTGCTGCCTCCGTAAATAGAATCATACTCTGTGCACGCGATATAAAATGCCACCCACGTCTGTGACTGCTGCTGGACGAACTTCCCATAAAATGCTGACCCTGCGCCGAGTTCCCTTCTCTATCAAATACCACTGGAATGCATTAGAGAGATACACTTGGACCGAGAAGCCGCAACACTGATAATGTAGGCTATCGATCCAGTGTGTGTTCGGTATCCACCCACCCGGCGAAAATATGGCAGCCGCCTGTCCGCCTCCATATGGCAGCCCTCCCGCTGCTCGGTGGCAGCTCGGACTGCCGCCCGCCGACTGACCAGTCCTGACTTGACTTAGCAACCCATCACTCCTACCAATCCTCCCGTCCAGCACACATATCCTCCCGTCCCGCCCATCCCGCTCACACGTCGTCGAAGATGCCTCTGGGCGCGGCGGGCCGGCCGGTGCGGCTGTAGCTGAAGCCGTCGTCCCCGACGCGTCCGACGCTCTCGACGTCGGGCTCGGTCCAGGAGTCGCGTGCCGGCCGCTCCCTGCCCGGGAACGGCGGGTCGGGCGACCCGAGCAGCTCCAGCCGCGCCGACTCACCCGACTCAGAGCGGGGCAGGAACGAGCGCACTGCCGGGGGAGAGGTAACGATCAGAGCGGGGCAGGAACGAGCGCACTGCAGAGGGGTGAGGGGTTAGAGCGTACTGCTGGGCTGGGGGAGAGAGGAAGTAAGGGGACGGCGATTAGAGCGAGGAAGGAACGAGCGCACTGCTGAGATGAGGAAAGAGGGGGGGGGCAGAACGGGGCAAGCACGAATGCACTGCCGGGGGAGGAAATGACGTGAGGGGAGGGAGAGTAACAGCGGCGCAGAACCAGCGCACTGCTGGGGAGAGGGAGGGAGCGGGCAGAAACGAGCGCACTGCCGAGGGAGAGGGGGAGGGGGAAAGTGACTTGAGCGATCGGTGCAGTCATCCGGCTACAGATTCTTGTGTTCATTAGGCGCATCCTCCAAATGAAGGTTCGGCAGTCCACATCTTAGACGGATCATAAAAGAGCATTGGTGGTCACTCTCCGGTCATGTGCGGAACCTATGGGACCTGTCATGCTACACTGCTTGGCGCTTCAGCGATAGGAGGTAGGCTGTAAATACAATACGACAGAAACAGTTCGAGCGGAAAGGAATGGGACGTCACCCATTCACTCTGAGGCGGTACTTCGAGCTAGTGGCTCACTGGTGAAACGGGCAATAACAATGGTGGCGACACTTTTGTATTATTAGCATTTTCCGCCTAATTGGGTCCTCAGGTAGTAGGTAACTGACAAAGGATGCAGGAAGGGAACGTGACTCACTTCTAAGAAATTTGAGCCGGTCAAGTAGGTTCCGAGCTAAATACTCACTGCTGCGCCTTTTTATAACAGTTCCTGCGTCAAACGAGTGACAATGGCAGGGAAGCAATGGTTTCAATCTACAAATATGGACACAATGTGAAATGAGTACCACGGTTCATAGAACTGCAAATAAAACGGCCGCAAGAAAAATACACCGCCAGTTCTGCTCCGCCATGTTACAAACAATACCTAACTATCCGGCAGCCTTCATTCTACTACTCCCATTGTTGATGGAACCCAATCCAAGCCTCCAAACTAACTATACCAGTCGACTACGCTGCCCCATGATGCGCGACTCACTGCGTTGTTCGGCGCGCTGCACGGCGGCGCGGTACGCCTGGCTGCCCCACCCTCCTCCTCCTCCGCCGGTGGGGGCGGAGTCGGTGCGCGGGGCGGGGCGCGTCTCGGCACCGCTCTGCCGCTGCCGGCGCCGGTGCTCTCGACGCACCAGCTCGCGGCCCTCGTCCGTCAGATCGGTGGTGATCTCGTCCTGGTCGAGGAACTGCTGAAAGCCGAGGAAGCTGAGCAGCCGCGCGCCCAGCGAGAACCACGTGGCCAGGCAGAAGGCCAGCACGCACATGGGGAAGTAGATGTTGAAGCCCTCCGACAGGATGGCCAGCACGTCCATGTGGCCCATGATCTGTGGAAGACGGAGACGGAGACGATCTCAAAGGCGGGGCCGAGATCAGACAGATAAGAGACGAAGAAATGTCGAATATCGAATCGAAAAAAAGACCAACTTGCAGCACTGCCAGTAGACTGGCACTACAATAGCCAGACAAATATTTGCGTCATGATCGAATGAAATGCCATCTACGCACCCAATACAATATGATACCGGAGGTGGTTTACCCCATCAGTCTCGCACTATACCAAGTCTCACCTACACAATCTAATGCACAAACGGCTGGAACTCTATGCCTCCCGGTTGGTCTGAGCAGCCACGTCACTCACCTTGGTATAGGCCGTCTCGTCCACCCTGTCCTTGATGATGTGACTGTCCATGTGGATCATACCCAGGAAGTTGAGGCAGAGCGGTGGGGTCAGACGACACAGCAGCCTGAGGAGGAGGAGAGGGGGCGAATCAGACGACATAGCAGCCTGCGGAAAAGGGGGGCGGGTCAGACGACACAGCAGCCTGAGGAGGAGAGGGGGGCGAGTTAGACGACAGAGAACCCTGAGAGCGGAAGAGAGGCCAGTCAGACGACACGGCAAGCTGCGGAAGAGAGGGGCGAGTCACACGACACAGCAGCCTGCGGGGGGAGAGGGAGAGAGAGAGAGAGAGAGAGAGAGAGAGAGAGAGAGAGAGAGAGAGAGAGAGAGAGAGAGAGAGAGAGAGAGAGAGAGAGAGAGAGAGAGAGAGAGAGAGAGAGAGAGAAAGAGAGAGAGAGAGGCGAGGCGAGGGCGGGATTGAGGGTCCGGGAAACTACTAGTATTTAGATAAAGTAGGTAGGAAGAGGGCAAGCATTTCATCATCACAATATCTACAAGCCAGGATAATCGGCGCCCAAGTACCAATAAAACGTTGTTAACACATAACCATACCCAACGCTTTTCAACCCCGGTGTGAAGTCATAGTACTTACATTCCCGAAAAGATGAGACTGTGCTGATCTGTCTGGTGGTTCGGAGCCAGGTAGTAGAAGTTCAACACGCGAATCTTGAATATCGTGTAGTAAGTACAGACACAGAGGTATGCTATTGTCAGACTAGATATCACCTGCGGAATGGAAAGCAACCGTCAGCGCTAACCATTACATGTGTGTGATCGCCGTAAAACAGAACGATGCCGCAACATTCTACTAATGAGGTAGTGAGGCGTAATGAGAACGATTAAAATAAATGTGCAATGTGCATGTTTATTAGGCATTGTTCTGAACAACAGGACACGGAGTATATACATATGTCTGTCTGCTCCCGAGTAATCAAAGCAGACGTAGCGCTGCTTTGCTGCACCCGGATACTGCACTGTGATATGTAAATACCTTCATTGATGAAATTAAACTACGACAAAGCCACGCAACCATGAGGAAATGATCCCGCACGCCGAGCGCAAGCATTGTCAGTTTAGCATAATGAATGCGGTAAACCAAACACAACATTGCTTAGCAAAACACGAAACATCAATAGTACCTAAACTGGATGCCAGTTAAACTAACCTCAATCGCCAGATAGTCGTAGTTGGACTTTGCGGCGTTGATGAAGACTGCGAACAGTGACAGTGTCGGGCTCTTGTTGAAGAAGGTGAGCTCGGACCAGACCACCATGAAGGATGTGATGGCGCAGACCACAGAGAGGCAGCGGAGTGCATATCCGCGCAGACGGCACTTCCAGTACCATTCTGAGGGGAAAGGCGTATGAGAGAGTCAGAGCAAGTTCCTAAAACTATCACACACGCACCGGAATATCAAGCACACATCATATATAAAATGAGGCACAACAGAGCGCCCCCTGAGAGACGTGAGTTCACAGTACTTCGAGATACACCAATGGCGTCTGAACCTAACCGGGACCCAGTCTCGGTTAGGTTCTCACTTTGGCTAGAACTGACTATGGCTCGTCCAAAGTCAGTTCTACTTTTCCCTTACGCATTCGAACCACTACCCAACCAGCTACTGAACTGAAACTCTGCTACCGAAGAGCAGAGTTTCAGTCACATAACCTACCACTCACCCGCAGCACAGACTATATCTTGTTCCTATTAAGTCTATTCCCTACTCCATCGGCCCTTCATTCCACAGCGCTGCACTCTATCCCTCCTCCTTCCCAAACCGGTGTGTTTTACCTCTCCCGGACCCAGATCCATCACCTTACCTAGCCGCGCGCCGATGATGAGACTGGTCCAGCTGGGCGGTCGGGGCAGACTCGGCTTGAAGTAGCCGTCTCGGTGTCGCTGGTTCTCAGATACGTCCTCCAGCTCGATCACCTGACCATATAAGGCACGAGAGGGGAGATAAGAGGAGGGTTAAAGAGACTGGCTTTGAATATGACTAAGCAAGACACTGAAATAATTATCTTGAAGCACATAATGAAGTAACAAAACACATGAGGACATTTTGCAGTCAGTACATCGCAAGAATGACAGCGGTGTTTCCAAATGCAGCACGAGCACAGCGCAACGACGGCTTGGCTCAAAAATAGATGATCAGTCAGCACACAGAGGGAATTCAACACACAGCTCCGTCAGCTCAGACGTTTTTAGGTTAACAAGGATATCAAACGCTAAATCCACTACGATTATCTCTGACAACTGAATCTCTGTGCTGCGCTGCTACCTAGTCCAGGGCTTACTCTTACCTCCTCTATTAGCATCTCCCACTGGGCCTCAGTGCGGTGGTGGTGCTGCAGAGCCCGGATCACCTGCCGGTGCAGCGCCACCAGCGACTTCTGGGTGGGCATGGGCGCCGCGTCCCCGGCCCTCTGGCGGCGCTTCATCCTCTGCTGCAGCCCGCCGGGGACCTTGGCCAGCACCGTGTCCACGCAGGGCCGCAGCGGGTGGCTGCCGCTGATCGCCTCCGAAGCCAGCTGCAACGACTGGCGGCGAGAACACGCGGAGACAGGGGGGTCAGGTGAAGGTGCAAAAGGATTGGGTACCTATGTGTGGAAAAGGAGAAATTGTCACTGAGGTTAGATGGGTAAAAGGTGCAAATCAAGGTCATTCTGAATGGCTTTGTTTTATGGGATTGTGGCCAATGACGAACCCTCAAATACGACACTAAAACATTAGAGACACTACAAAAGCAGTGAGAAAACCAAGATACATTGGTGCTTACCAGCTATGTGAAACTGCACAGTCCTAAAGACTTCCGGCTGTCCGAAGGAGAATTTTACCTTGTATCCCACCTCACTAATTATTGTCGTAAATGGCACGGCATCCAAAGCTCAACAATACCAATGTAGGACAAGCAGTTATTGCTTCGTTTCGTTTCCAAGAAAATATTTGGACTTCTGAAGCTAATTATCACCAAATTTGGATTGTTTCTTCACTCATCCGTGAACAAAACAAAAAAGAAAATTAACGGTACAAACATGAAATGCCAAACGTCAACAACTAAGCCCCATTGTTAACGGTAAATTTCAAAACCGAAGCAAACCTGCAGAACCGGTTGAAACATGAAACATCCAGCGTAATGCGAACAATAAAACTCTCACTCAGGGTTACCTTATCTAGTTAAAGGTCGACGTTCTGTCGACGGGACGAGAGTCCCGTTCTAAAGGACCACGGTATTCAAGAATATCCGTCAATAAAAACAAAGCTAAGCGAGCAGCGATAATAGAAGGGATCACAGTAAAAACAATCTAAATATCCAATTAGTAGCACCAATACTAATAATGATTACGGCAATATTGTAGGTAAACAACCGATGAGCACTCACATCCAGTACGTCATCGAGGGCCTCCTCTGCCTCGGAGCGTTCGGCGCTCAGTTTGGCCACTCGGAAGTAGCCGTGCCGGAGGCTCCAGCCGCGCTGAGCGGCGTGCCACAGTGCACGCGGCACCTCCACTAGGGAGTAACCGAGCAGCAGAACCAGCAGGAATAGGCCCCACGTGTTACTGGCAGACGAGGCGATCAGCTTCAGGTGCGGTCTGCCGGTCACATAGGCGGCGGTTTGGTGAGACACGGTCAGAGGGAGGAGTTGGTCTAGTTAGAGGGTGGAGAGGAGCAGGTTAGATCAATTCAAAAGGGCAAAACGAAGAAGTAAGGTCAAAAAGTTGAGGTCAGAACCGGTCATATGGAGAGTGGGTTGGCTTATATTTGGCCCGAGTTTATGTTATATTCAAACCAGATCAAAGGGGAAGAGCAAAACTGAGGTCACACACGGATGGAAAAATGCACACACAGCACAAGAAAGCGTGACGTTCCCCAATTAACGTCAGCCAGAGACTCCCAGACACCGGTTCGTGCGGCATCAAACGTCAATTTTTTTCCGGTTCCCTGTCTTTCTATCATCCCCTCTGTTCCGTTCCTCACCCGTCGACATGGACGCCCGGCTGCGTGCTGATGTAGATCAGCAGAATGATCGCGATGATCAGGTACGACCCGTAATAGATCGCGTTATCCACCAGCGCCGTGCGCAGCTTCCCCTTGACGGTGAAGTCCCCTGCCTGGGTGTACGACTGCGTCATCGGCATGATGAGCCAGGTGAGCGCCTGCGAGGTCCAGTAGACCACGCGCCACAGGTCAATCATCACTGCCTCGGAAACGTAGCTCCAGGGCCGCTCACACGGCGTGGGCTCCGGGGACGGGCCGACCGTGATCGGCGCGTCACTGGAGGAGCCGAAAAAGGCAGCCGTGGACGGCACTGCCGTGGTGACGCTGGTGTTGGCGGTGGTGACGGTGGTGATGGTGACGTTGTCCGGCAGAATGGTGTCGTTGGACGGTGGTGCCACGGTAGTGGTGCTCACAGGCAGATCGTGATCACGGACACATTTGTTGTACGCCGTCTGCAATGGACGAACAGAGTCTTGTTAATGCAATGGAATTGTATTAAACTGAACAAATAAATGCTAATAAAACAAGCACGTAAATAATGCAGACGACAACTTGAAACAGGAGATTCACAGCCACCAAATTACTCGGAAACAAACGGAAATGTCACAAAATGAATAATCTTACAAACCATCGTAAGGAATACACTGGGAATTCTAAGCCGTCGAAAAACCGATTTAACGTGACATACGCAGTTGTTTTACGATCATTCAACGAAACATGTCCACTGGTCTACCCTTCATTGGTCAACACTTCATTTAAAGACAGAAACTAAGGCACACTTGCCGCTAGCCGCCGTCCCCTCTCCACTCCCCACCCTGCTCGCGCTCGTTTCCTCACCCTGGACACGTCCATGGGGATGACGAAGACGATGATGAGGGAGAAGTACCAGGCGATCAGCACCGAGATCGTGACGAACACGTGGTGGTTACGCCAGTCGCCGTACCGGTAGAGCAGCGCGGCCGCCACGCAGAAGGTGGCGACAATCTCCACTGACAGCGGGCCCGCTGTCATCGTGATGGTTTGGTATTGATGGACTTCTGCTAGATATCACTGACTCAGCACTGGGGATTTACCTACACTGTGGAGCGATTACGGCTACAAAGTGCACTGATCTCAGAAAGTTTGCAGTCCACTGAGTTGCCTGTGTCACTTCTTGGGTTTAAGTAGTTCAGCGTGCCAGATGTGCGTTTCACATGCAGTGACCAATAATTCACTCAGTGTCTCTGATATAATGCACACGCTGTCCCGGCCAAAATTACTAAATTACCTTCAATAAATGTACAGAACTAATATGTCAATGTCCCATCAATCTGTAGCTTAGTTCTTGGCTAGAATGGCTCCACAGGTTTTCACTCCAGGTCCCACTTATCGCCCACTGTTTCTCTACACTGGCCCTCGACACAGAAGCAGTATGTCAAAGTTTAGTCAAGCTCAACTCCGCTGGAGTCTGATCTCTGCGTGGGACTGGCAGCAAGTTGCGGTGACGTGGTGCAGTTCAGTTCCGGCCAGCGGAGGTTGGCTGTCGCGCCTGGTCACGGGCCTTCTGGTCCGCCTCTCGCTGCATCTGTTCCATCTTCTCCAGCGTCACAGACTTGAGTGGCAGCAGTTTGGGCTTGCAGAGCACCATGCTCGGAGCATCCTCAGAATGCAGCAGACCCTGGCGGGGCAGCACCTCCCTGAGACGTCCACTGCCACTGTCCGCCATCACAGCTCACGGGCAGTCAGACACAACAGAGACCAGGTCACCACAGGACTGCAGCTGGAACAGGCACAGAAAGTTACAGATGGAAACACTGCCAAGTGCCAACTGATTTTACCTGGCAGCTGGCACTCAAAACCAGCACACCAACAGCCTCGGTAGTTTACTGTGTAACTTAAATCTTAAGTGTATCAAAGAAGTTTACAAACAAAATTCTGTCTCAGTTGTCTTCATCTTAACAGGAAAAAAGAAAATCAAAAAGATAAACACAGATGCTATGTGTGTTTTGGAATTGGTGTCAATTCATTGACTGTATTGAGCGTGGCTGAGGAGTCAATGGATTTTAGGGTGACTCAGAGTCCAGCTCCAGCTTGAAAAGTCAACTCTGATTCCAACTCTGACTCTGGACAGTTCTATTAAAATCCATATCATGGTATTGAAGTTAATAATGAAGGGAGACGTTTTATCTTGCCTGAAACAATCCCTTGCGCGTTCCAAGGCTTTACGTTGCAAATATGCATTAAAAATAACATGCAGAATCAAAAAGCAGGTTCTGGGGAATTCAGCATCTTCTGCTTCTTTCTCTGAAAACGTTCTTTCAAAACAGCGAAATGGCCTTTTCTGACAATTTCTAATTTTGAGCGCAGTATCGTCAATCAAACAGGTGCAGTGCATGACGTTGAGCCATGCAGCGTTAACTCCCACTCGACTCTGGATTCAGAGTCAGTATTTTTTTTGGTGACTGACTCTGATTCCACGCAGAACTGTTGACTCTGACTCTGACTCCAACTCTGACTCTGCAGCCCTGGTATTGATAATTGACTATTGAGTATTGAGAACTGTTTCTTGTGAGTTGTGGAAATATTTTGACCGATTTTGTAATTTTGTATTGCTAGGAAATGAAACCAAAGGAAAAAATGAGGCATATACTGAACCTTTTAAAGGGAAACCTATGATTACACTTCTTGCAATGGCAGGAATGTTGCGCCTATGTTCAAGTGCTACTTTTTACTTAATTATCACATCAAGCCAACTGCCAAGTTTCTGAGTCAGACTTGAAAGTAAAAGAATACCTGTTTGATCGGAATTTTAATACCTATCAAACAAATAATGGTAATTGGTAACAAGATGAATTGAGAAATTACCTACGCGTCCAACCCTATGCTGTTCTGACACAAATAAACCCAATGCCATTAAAATACAATAAATCGAAAATACAGCAATTATCCCAGCTATGGTAGGTAGGTAATGTATTCAATAAACAACAGAAAAATATGCCAATGCCGATCAATTTAAGCTGCGCATCTTTTGTCATATTAGCGCAGCTTATGCGATTCGAGGTGACTGTGAGGAAAGCGACCACTAAATCATACAAGCCAGCAAACTTATGTTAATCAGCAAAAGGTGGCGCTGGTTTTCACCGAGACATGAGGGCATCTACAAGTTTTTGGGCCCTTTACACAGGGCCTCCTCTAAGGATTTTTCACTGGGTGGGCAAAATTTTTCGCCGCTCCCCTGCCCAAGGGCAGATCCAGTCACTTGTTTTGGGGTGCAACCATTTTCACCTGCGACTGGGGGGGGGGGGGGGCTGAAAAAAGCTGCCATTGTGCCATTGTAAATGGTGACAAAATATGATGTGCCCGGTGACAAATATCGTGACTGAGAGGCTGCATTCTTGTCGCATACTCATATTGACTGCATCTTGCATAGGGCCTGTAACAAGCGAATAAGTAGGAGCATGCATTTGTTATACCTTCTACTTGCATCTCTACATTTCTTTGTCAAAAGTTGCATCTCTACCGTCCCGCAACGTTTGAGCTCCATATGTGTTCTATGAGCAGAATCAGCAAAACTCTCACGTAAGCAAAGTGGTCCGGCTGAGAAACGAGCCAGTGCGGTCCCATGCTAACCCAATGCAATGGTGACACAGTCACCATTTGTCGCCATTCTGTCACCAACGCTCATTGGTCCGCCAGGCGGAAATTACTGCGTACGGACAAACAGAACAGCGTTTTGCTTTGCTCTATAGATGGCCTTGGCAAATTTTTGAATAGCAGTAGAAGCAGTAGAAGTATAACAATAAGAAGCGTTTGAGGCAAGCGTGCGAGTTGATGCGTTTTGTTAAGATTTTGATACAGCCTGGCCCAGATTACTTGTGATTTGTCCTTTGTGATTTATCTGTGACTGGACCAGAACAAGTGCCTTATTTCATCAAGTCGGTGGCCCATCACAATCTACGTTTTTTGGTGGGGTGAGTTCAAGTTGGGTGAGCTGTAACCAAGCTGTAACCCAGCTTTTTTTTCAAGGAGCCAAAACCAAATATGTGTTGGGATGGCCACCAGGAGGAAAACCAGTCAAATATAAAGAATTTGATGGCAGTGTAATCCCTGCACTGATGACACATTAGGTACTCACTCCACTAGGCACTATGATGTCATCAGCCTCATGATATTGATAGGTAGGTATGTCAGTTAATATCCTCCAAAAACAAAAATGAACTTTGAAATCTAGTTGTCTGTTGTCTTGATATTACATTTTCTCCCATCAGTCTGAGATACGTACTTACCTTGGTGGTTAAAGTACCTACCTACCCAAAGGCCAATTGATTTTATAATGATGCTAGATCAAGCTTCTGCTAGTTCATTCACACATCATAAAAATACCCAACATGTTTTTCCTTTTAAAATTTTCTTTCCAAAATTTCAAATTTGTTGGTTTTCTGAAAATGTGGCAAATTGTGGAATGGATAAATTAAATTTACTTGCGGAATTTCTTTTGAAGTTACATGTTGAGGGAGTATCAATCCATTGAATGCATTTCATGGACTATGCATTTTTCCTTTGCATGGTGAAATTGCCTTTTTGCACCCTAGCCTAGGCTCATCTTCTTCTTCTTCTTCTTAACTTTTAGTTCCACCCATCGGATGCACCATTAGGTTATCCTCACTGCTGGCTGCTCAAAATTCAATAAAAACCACACCATATTATCACAAGCCATACATCAACCTAGAAACTTGTTGACATAATCATTCACTCCTTAAAAACAGCTACACCTCAAGCAAAAACAACAAAACCTAATCTAAGCTGACCTAAGCTTACCTAATGTAACCTAACCTTACCTGAATCAACATGTGGTCAGGTGTAATGTAGAAATGTTTTGTGTAAAAAAGTATTCTTAGTATTGTGTGGTTTCTTTTTTCAAGCTAAGGAGGATGGTTCCTTTCCTTTAATATCTTTATTTTCTCAATTTCTCCAGTTTTTAGAGGGTGCAAAAAGTAAAATTAGATAGGTATAGCCCTATGTATGGCTGGGTAGGCAGTGGGCTTGGTGTGCCACAAAGGACCTTAATCTCCCAGCCTGCATCTTTTTATATTTTCAATTCACAACCTAGACACTGCATCAGTGATGCATTGTATATGTAATATATGCACCCTTTATTGATTAGTTAGGCAGAAAGTGACAAATTTTCCAATAGCTAATATTTAATAAACATGGTAGGTATTTATTCATTGATTCATTTGCCAACAAATATAATGGCCAATAATTGTGGATACCAGACTGGAAAAAGTACAAGTTAAGCCGAATATGTCCGGCGTAGTGGCGAGATTGTCCCGGAAATTTTAGCGCACGTCCGGCGTAACTTCGTATACGCTGAATTCAGCGCATGGCGGCCGCTGAATTTTTCGGCGAATGGCGTTCACCGAAATTTTCGGCACGCTGGTCGATCTAGCAGCACATTCGCCCCGCGGGCGGCTCTGGAGAGGCTCGGGACGTCTGTTCGGGACGAGACGTCCCCAATGCTCCGACTCACGTCGTCGCGTGCTCCGACTCACGAGCCGCCCTGAGTACTCAGTGGAGGAGCAGCCGCCCAGGTGAGGCCTCCACCCTCGGCGCTGAGATAGGTATGGGACAGGGAGACCTTGTTGAACATCGCCGAGGGTCGTGAAGTAATCCTGCAGCGGGTTCCTGCCCAAGTTTCTGCCTACTGCGGGATCGAGGGAAATGAGAGCGCTGACGACCTGGCGAAACAAGGGGCCGCCCTGCCCTCGGACGCCCGCTCGCTGACCCGGGTGGTTCATTGTGCGGCCTCGCGTCAAATGGCGCGACAACTGGTCCGAGTTACCATTCAAGTCACTTCTAGCTAGCACGCTGCCACTCCCCATCCCCGGAGAGGATCGGGAGGACACCGACCGGGAGGATGCCGTTTCGGTGCACCTGATGAGGGCGGGCCCTGGGCACTTACTGGGCCCGCTCGCTTCAGTAAGTGCACCGAATCGGCTGTCTCCCCTCTGCGGCGTGCCAGCAGTGCCCGGATAAGCGGTGCCCGTCGCGTTTTGCGCCGAGTGCCGAGAAGGCTGATGTGCTGGAGCACGTGCTGCTCCGCTGTCCAGCCCTCGCTGGCGCCCATGCCAGCCTCGAACACACCGCTCCGCCGATTTTTGTGGCCCTGGAACTTCTGGCCTGAACCTTGTTCCACGGCACGATACAGTGCGCTACACGTATTGTGGTATTGGATCAACTAGTTGATTCAGACGTTCAAACACGGGAGAGCGCTTAAGGCCCCGGGACGCTCTGTCTGGTTGATATAGCCTTAGTCGGTAGATGTGCACACGTGCTTTAAATATAAGTGGCTTATTTTTGGCACAAATAGGCACCCAACTTTCGGCGCAAATCGTGCAGAAACTTATGCGCAAAATCCCTTGCGCCGAATTTCAGCGCATGAGGGCCTCACGGGCGTCCGGCGTATTGCAAGGGTGTTTTCCAGTCTGGTGGGGACAGGCCGGAAAGATGAACAGAATCAATAGGGGCAATCCAGCTTGACAAAAAGTGATATTATTGTCCTTTTCTGCACTTTCGTATGATGTTCTCTTGAGGCATATTGTTTCCTAAATTGATGGGTTGTAGTGTTCCTTTGGTTATATGAAGCTCATTTGAAGTGTTCCTTTGGTTTGGTCCTTTGGTGATGGATTGTAGTGTTCCTTTGGTTATATGAAGCTCCTTTATGAAGCTTCCTTTGGCTCATATGAAGCACCATTCATTACATCATGGTGTACCTATAACAATTGCGGAAATTACCATTATGCAATGCTGTACTTCAAGATTTGTTGACGAGATTCACTCTCCTCAAGAGTTGTGAAACTTGAAATATAATTACGAGCGCCCTTAAAGCTGCTTTTCTCTCGTTTATTTCACCTATTTCACTACGTCGGCTTCAAACAGTAGCCGACACCCTTTCATCGTCCGGATGCTTTCGGTTTCGGTGTTTCGATTGGAAACGCTCATGGAGGCGTGCACCGTAGGTAAATATTGGTTAGTTGTATACGTTGCAGATGCTGCAATGCGCTTTTTTTGTGTGAGTAACATGAACATTCTAGCGAACATAACATCTGCATCCGTGAGACATTAAAGAGTCATTGTGTTTGAAATTTTTCATACATATGAGATGCTGCGCATTGGTGACCTAATTGTGCAATCAATGTCAGCTGAAGTTCTAGAATCGTAATAAAATCTTGAATTGTTCGTATTTTAGCGCTTGAAGGCGTGGAATTGGTGACAAACCCATGGTGACAAATTGTTGGGCTCCAACTCCCAATGGTGACACACCGAGGGTGTTTCCCAGCCCTAATAAGGCCTATGTCACTTTCACAGTCAACCAACTGTGCCATTTATAGTTTAACGTTTGTTGTGTGTGATATGGTATTTCGTGTGTATTTCACCTTATAGGTATGCCTATTGTTTACATTAGTGATATCAATAACGGAAAATCAGGATACCGATACCAAACCAAATGCCAACCAAAACCATGAAAAATACCGAAACCAAACCAACTTGGGAACATGAGGGAAATACCAACTTTTTACCGAATTCGTATCCTCTTATACATTAGCCGGATTCGTAATACCAACAAAATACCAACAACATTAGGATCAAAATACCAAATACCAAGTTGGTATCAGTTTGGTATCGGTATACCAAAAAGTTGGTGTCCGATTGACATCTCTAGTCTACATACATTTAAAATTTTAAGAAGACTGCAAAAGTGCAGAGTTAAACTTACTATGATTGCTCCTTGAACCAGAAATCGAATAGGTAGGTGAGGCTCGCTGCCTCTTTTTAGGAGGCATGGTCAGCTTACTCTTGACGCGTCCTCTTGATCTAAATACGGCTTTTATTGACCTTAATCTACTTGTAATACATCCTTGGCCTTGTAGCGCGCTACCCTGCTGGTCCATGCCGGTCTTTGAGGGTCCCACACTGACCTCTGAGGCCCCATGCTGGCCTGTAAAGGCCCATA